AAACCTTGTGAACATTGCTATTGCATGAGAGGAGACATAGTTTGTGCTGTACAAGAATGTGGAACTCCTTTAGAAAACGAAGGCAAAAATTGTACTGCTCTTCCACAAGAAATGGCCAGTGTTGCCCCGACACGTACATTTGTGGCACCCTTCAAGATGATGAACATACTACTCAATTGTCGATCACAGCATACCCCTTGCAACTGAAGCATCACCAATTAGTGATAAAAACTTGGTGGATCAAATGACTGAAAATAATGCTTTGTTAACGAAAAAGACTCAGAAGACAAGGTAGTAGATCAATCTATCTCAACAGAGCAATATACCGAAACAGATAATGAAGTTCATCCTCTTGAGACATTAGATAAAGACTTACCAAATTATACTGCAACAAAACTACCTCCAGAAAGTACAACAGCTAAAGTTTTTAGCGAAGGTTATGAAAACGAAAATGAAGTAGATCATGAGCACGATGATTCTACAGAAAATCAAGACGCTATGGCTATGGCGGGTATTGTAGAAACTGACCAAAAAATGCATTCAGAAAGTCAAGTAACACATATGCCACCGGAACTGATTACAAACAAATTTTTGGAATCTACAGAAAAGCCGTCAGATTCGTATCCATCAGACGAAATAAATGACACCGACGAAACCGTTCATGATTTGAATAAAGAAACGATAAACATTTTATAACTCAATCAGATGACAATATTATTGAAATTACTACACTTGCTGCTCAATCAATATCTGAAAAAGAAAAACTCACGGTAGGAGATAATACAGCTCCTGAAGAGAGCAATGCCAAACCAACTGAGAACATCGATGAAATTAAACAAGAAACTGGTCCAATAGAACAACAAAATGAAAACGAATTCAACACTACACCTGGAGAACAAAATATAAGTTTTATTGAAAAGGGAACGCAAACATCAACACCGGAGACAGAAGACCACGTTATACAGGAAGATATCTTGAGTACACCAAACGATATTATTGATTCCGAAGGTACAAGTGATAAGAAAATATCTGAATTAGACGAAGCATCTTCACCGGAAGACAAGAAAGAAATCTCGATGGATACCTCAACTACGCAAACATCGGTGGGCGATGAAACCAACTTACTTGAAGGTGATGTACAATCAGTTGATGAGCAAGGAGAAAATCAACATATAACACAGAAACGACATCATCTCAAATTTCAGTAGAAAAAGCTGTAGAAACCGATCAAACCAATGAAATGAAGGAAGAGATCCCATCTCAATTGCCTGAAAGTCA